CAGTGAGAGGTGGTCCATCCTGACCACAGTGCCTGGAGAGAGGTACTTCGTCCTGCCCACGGAGCCCGGGGCGGGAGGCACTCCGTCCTGACCGTAGGACGTGGCTACACCATGACCTTGGGCACAGCATCAGTAGAGAGGATTGTCCTGCATAGGGCAGGGCTCAGTTTGCTTGTCTGCGGGTCACTATTTGATCAGAGCTGACTGGACAGTGGCAAGCTGGAACCTGGCCACTCTGGTGAGCCTACAGACCGTTCCTTTCTTGGGTTGTTTGGCGCCAGAAAGGCAGGTGTATCTTGTTGCATATTTTCACTCCCTTCCCCCCTTCAGCGTAGAGACTTTGGTCTTGGAAATGCAGACAGCCCGTGGCCTGTGAATGAGTGCACATGGGGCTGTGGACCGTGCCCTTGGCCTCTTTCTCAGATGGGGGCCCGACTCCCATGGAGTTGTGGCTGCTCCCAGGAGGAGGCCTGGTTCCGACACCGGGGACAAAAGCTGAGGACATGCGTGGTCAGATGCCTGGGGAGCAGGCTGTCCTCTCAGGAGACGACTGGAGGAGGGAAGGGCTTTGGTGTCAAGCAGACCCCTCAGCCTAGTTACATGCAGGACCCCTGAACCGAGCCCTCCCCGCTTCGCAGAGCTCTGCTCCCTGTAAATTAGGTTTTGTGCTGGCTCAGCTGTGTGGAGGACGAGTGGGGTCCTGAAAGGTGCTGTCTGTGCGACAGGGCCCTCACTTGTTAGACGGGCTCACCCAGCACCAGGTAGAGCCAGCCACTGAGGACGTGCAGGGACCCAGCTGCTCGCTGAGGGTTGGTGCTGGGCCCAGAGCTGGAAATGCAGTCCCCATACTGAGATCTAGAATCTTCTAGCGGCCTGCGTAGAGCCTTTGAACTGTGGCGCTGGGGAACAATGTTGAATATTCCATGGACTGTCAAAAGGACAACCAGTTCTGTGTGGGAGACATTGCAGGCGAGGGTGGTGAAACGGCCTCACATACGGAGGGCGTGTGGTCAGGAGAGGTCAGTCCTTGGGAGAGGACATCGTGCTGGGAACAGGGGCGGTTGGGTGGAAGACATCCAACTAGGTGTACTGGCACAGTGACGGTCACTGAGGCTCAAGGAGGGCACAGGACAGGGCAGGGTTCAGGCCCTGGTCACCACGATGGCTCTGAACCACGGCAGGGTGGTGGCGACGTGTCAGGGGTCATGGGTGACCATCAGTCCAGGTCCGTCAGGTGCTCTGTGAGAAGGAAGGCAGGCCATCCACACACGGTCTCCCCCCAGGCGTGTCCTCGGAGAGCTCGGTGGCCAGAGGGCCACTGGCAGCTCCGTGAGGAGGATGTGCACTGGCTCTGTGGGGACTGTTCTGGGGCGTCCCTGCCGGAGCGTGTCACTAAGGGTGTGTTTCCTCTCTCACTTAGTCTCACATAATGGCAGCCAAGGCTGTGGCGAACACCATGCGAACATCACTAGGACCGAATGGTAAGAGTCCTGCCAGCTTGTTTTCTAACAGTTGTAAATCCTGGTCAGTCGTGACGGCAAATTAGGGTAGCCCCGCCCTCACACCGCTGCATTTCTCTCCACTTTCTGGTGCGTTCTCCACTGTCGGCCTCATCCTTTTCTGCAGTTCCCATGAGCTCTTTTCGCATCTTCTGCACCACGTTGTCATTTTCAGGCCTTCCCATGCCCCTTTTAGCTGGCGTCCCCTGACTTTGTGCCACTTGTGTTCAGAGGGTGGTTTCTAGAAGCATTAAGCATCAAAAGCCCCTTTGTGCTGACGGCCTTTCCACTGTTATTTCCAGGGCTGGACAAAATGATGGTGGACAAGGATGGTGATGTGACGGTGACTAATGACGGGGCCACCATTCTGAGCATGATGGACGTTGACCACCAGATTGCCAAGCTGATGGTGGAGCTCTCCAAGTCCCAGGATGATGAGATCGGAGATGGGACCACAGGGGTTGTCGGTGAGAAGCACAGGGCCAGCACATCTGCCCGGGCAGCTGCACACAGGGCCAGGCTCCCACAAAGCGACCAGCCGTGGCAGGAGACGCTTGGGTGGGGGCGCCAGGGAGAGGTGGGGGTTGGTTGTGAGTTGTGTGTCTCGTGGTTTTGTCCTGTCCCAGTGTGGTGACAGCCCAGGTGGTTTGGGGGCAGGGAGGGCCCCAAGCTGGTGGGCACGCTGCAGTCTTGTGAAGGGAGGATCTTCTCTGGAGTGTGACTGCGTCACGGTTTCTACATGTAATGCTGCAGCATTCGGGCAGAGAAAGTGTGTGTAGGCACAGAGGTCACAGGCATGGCCGAATGTCAGATGAGGGAGCCCAGGTCGGTGGAGGCAGGCCAGTGCAGGCTTGACGGTCCCCTCGGCTTCAGCACATCTGGGAGTGAAAACGAGTGTACCAAGAGGAATGTTTCCTTCTCTGCGGGAGTTGTGGATTCTGCGGTTGTCATGGCCCCTGCTGGGTGCCTTCCCCGTCGGGCCAGGACGAGGGACAGGAGCCCGAGGCAGGTGGGAGCGGGCAGACCTGTGCACTCGTGCTCTGGGGCTGAGACCCCGCAGTGGCACAGAGCCGCCCAGCAGTCACCCACAGGAAAGGCCTGGCTGGTGCTGTGCGGTACCCGGGTGTCTTATGCTCGGAGTCAGCCCCGTGGCACGCAGCGGCACCAGCAGGGCCCCGGAAACATCACGGTGTGGGGCTTCTCTCCCCTTTTAAAAATGGTCTTCTCACATCGTGCCTTGTTTCGGCAGGTGAGTTGTAGTTAGAGACCCCCGTGTTACACAGGAGCTTGGGAGTGGCCATGGCACTGCCTTTCGACGGCACATCTGTCAGTGCACTTGCACTGATTTGGGCTGTGTGGTCAGTCCCAGGCCTCATCCCAGGCGCCTCTAGGTCCAGCTCCACCTTTAACTCTTTAAGCAGGTGTCTGGTGCTCTGACGCCTGCCAGCTTCTGGGAGCAGTCAGGCCCGTCCCAGTGACGGTGGTGACGTGTCCTCACTGCTGTTACAGTCCTGGCCGGGGCCCTGCTGGAGGAGGCCGAGCAGCTGCTGGACCGCGGCATCCACCCCATCAGGATCGCTGATGGCTACGAGCAGGCCGCCCGCATCGCCATCGAGCACCTGGACAGCATCAGTGACAGCGTTCTTGTAGACGTGGTGGACACCGAGCCCCTGATCCAGACGGCCAAGACCACGCTGGGCTCCAAAGTGTATGTGCCGGGGCGGTTGGGGCTCAGGATAGAGCTGCCCCACCGACCAGGGGCCCTCCGCGTCCTGCCATGTCTGGGGCCAATTAGAGCTTTCCCACCGACCAGGGGCTCACTAGCTCACCTGGAGGTGGGTCAGCAAGTGTTCATTTCAGAGTCAGCACTGAGAACACACGGTGTGCATAGCTGTGTGGCTGACCCATGAGGTGAGGTGGCCCCGGCCCCTCGGTCCTCATTTACCAAACCTGTGTTTTCCTGGGCATTCTCGCCCCCTTATGTCCGTGTTCTTACTGTGACCCACATGTGAGGACAAGTGCATGGGTCATCTAGTAATCTGAGGGTGATGGCTTGGGACAGTGCACCCTCCAGGATGGGATAGCTCCGGCCTGCTGCTCACAGTTGAGCAAATTGAGACGAGGAGGTGGGCTTCCTTGCGCGTGAGGGTCTAGGAGCCCTTGGCTGTCGTGGTCAGCCCCCTGGACACTGGGGGTGAATGGGTGTGGTTGTCCAGGAGGGCACAGCCGAGCGTGACTGACCAGGTGTCCGGTGCGCCCCAGGATCAACAGCTGTCAGCAGCAGATGGCGGAGATCGCGGTCAACGCCATCCTCACGGTCGCAGACATGCAGCGCAGGGACGTGGACTTCGAGCTCATCAAGGTGGAGGGCAAGGTGGGCGGGCGGCTGGAGGACACCACGCTCATCAAGGGCGTCATCGTGGACAAGGACTTCAGTCACCCCCAGATGCCAAAGGCAGGTGGCCGCCCACACCCCGGCGTGGCCTGGCGTGGCCGAGTCCCCGCACTGAGTCACCCCCTCTACCCACAGAAAGTGGAGGACGCCAGGATCGCAATCCTCACGTGTCCCTTCGAGCCGCCAAAGCCCAAGACGAAGCACAAGCTGGACGTGACCTCCGTGGAGGACTACAGGGCCCTTCAGAAATACGAGAAGGAAAAGTTTGAGGAGATGATCCGCCAGGTGAGTCCAGGCCGGGAGGCTGCCTGTCGCCACCACACGGACTCCGTGAACTTGGGGCCACGCCAGCCCCCAGGGTACTGCAGGAAAGGGGCCTGGCGGTCTGCTGTGCAAGGATCACAGCCCAGGGGACCGGGAGCCGTCCACTCACAGGGTCCCCTCGGGAGTCCCCTCAATGGCATGAGACCCCCACAGGCCGCCGTCAACACACTCTCAGTCAGGACCTGTGAGGGCTGCACTGCTGGCACCCGGCCTGCACTCCACACACAGCCAGACACCCTGCAGACAGACACCCCACACACAGCCAGCAGGGGCACGGATGGCCCGTCTCCTGTGCCGTCTAGTTGAGTACCACTCATAGCGACCCGGCCCTGTGCCTCCCTCCCACTTCTAGCACATGAGACTGCACCTCACTGCCCCTGAGGACTGCTGCGGGTCGGTTCCGATGGGGCAGCACACAGCAGCAGCATTGATACACACAGCAACGTGGATAAGTCTCAGGGTTTAGATGGTTATTAATATTGATTGAGAGAAACCTTAAAGCGTAGGCTATGTGTATCAATTTCTCAAAAGTAGTAGAGAATGCATCCTGTCCCACAGAAGGTGTCAGGCAAGGTGCAGGTCCCTGGGAGGCTTTGAAATCCCCGTGGGTGTCTGGAGGAGGTGTTTAGGCTCCCTGTATTACACGCGAGAGGAGGGTGCGTCTGCTCCCACGCGGGTTAGGGCCCCGGAGAACCTGCGGGAGGCTCAGCTGTACGTGCTTCAGACTCCACAGCAGCGGCCACGCCGGGAGAGCTGTCCCATGCTGCCTTTCTCCGTCCCCGTCTCTGCAAGGTCCGTCCACCCGGCTGTGAATCGCCCATGTTTGAAAGCATGTAGGAGGGACCTGACTTCGTTAACCTGGTATTCTCTCTGCAGATCAAGGAAACTGGAGCCAACCTAGCCATCTGCCAGTGGGGCTTTGATGACGAGGCGAACCACTTACTGCTGCAGAACAACCTGCCTGCGGTCCGCTGGGTCGGAGGGCCTGAGATTGAGGTGGGGGCTCTGCCGGGTCAGGGGGCCTGAGATTGAGGTGGGGGCTCTGCCGGGTCAGGGGGCCTGAGATTGAGGTGGGGGCTCCACATGTAGTGCTTGGGGGTGGGCTGTGATACAGGGGTTCAGAGAGAGGCAGGTGGGTGCAGGGGCACCCAGGGGAGTGCAGCTGGCCATAGCAGATGGGTTGGCAGCACACTCCCTGGGGACCTGGTATTGGGGCTTGTGCGTCTGCACGCAGCTCACTGCCCCCCTTGTTCCATGGCAGCTCATTGCCATCGCCACTGGTGGGCGCATCGTCCCGCGCTTCTCTGAGCTGACACCTGAGAAGCTGGGCTTTGCGGGGCTGGTGAAGGAGATTTCCTTCGGGACGACCAAGGACAAGATGCTAGTCATCGAGCAGTGCAAGAACTCCAGGGCCGTCACCATCTTCATCCGCGGGGGCAACAAGATGGTGGGTGTGGCTGCCCAGGAATGGGGGCTGGGGGGTGGCGTCAGCTCAGCTGGAGACCGATCCCTGCCGTGCGCCCGCCCAGGGGGTGAGGGGATCACCTCAGCCCGAGACCGATCCCTGCCCTGCACGGGGATGAGGGGCAAGCAGCCTGTCTGAGCCCTGAGCCCCCCTCCCCCCACACTCTGCTCCCCAGATAATCGAGGAGGCCAAGCGCTCCCTGCATGACGCCCTGTGTGTCATCCGCAACCTCATCCGAGACAGCCGGGTGGTGTACGGTGGCGGGGCTGCCGAGATCTCGTGTGCACTGGCCGTCAGCAAGGAGGCGGACAAGGTGAATCACAGTGGCCCAGCAGGGCCTGGGGGCTGGGGGCGGAGGGAGGGCTTTGGATGAAGCAGCGACAAGCGCAGGCTCTCGGACCTCTCTCCTTCCCTCACACACGTGTGACCAGGTAGTCCCAGTGCAGCTGCACTTGGACATTTGGGTCACAGCATGGTCCTGTCCCCCTCAGTGCCCCACCCTGGAACAGTACGCCATGCGGGCCTTCGCCGACGCACTGGAGGTCATCCCCATGGCCCTCTCGGAGAACAGCGGTATGAACCCTATCCAGACAATGACGGAGGTGCGCGCCCGGCAAGTGAAGGAGATGAACCCGGCGCTGGGCATCGACTGTCTGCACAAGGGCACCAACGGTGAGGGGAGGACTGGGGCTGGGCATTGTACACAGGGCACCGATGGTGAGGGATGAGCATGGCTCAGGGGTGGACCGGGGCTGGGTATCAACTGCACAGGGGCACCAACACCGGTGAAGGGTGGACTGGGGCTGGGCATCGACTGTATGCACAAGGGCACCAACAGTGAGGAACGGAGCAGAATGCCCACAGACATGGAGACTGTCCGGTGGAGCGGCCCTCAGGGCTTGTTCCTGGCCCTTAGACCAGTACATTATGGCTGGCCAGCATGTCCTTTGAGAACTGTGGTCACCCCTCCCAGCAGGCTAGTTCCCCCAGTAAATCAAGGTGCCTCCTGGACGTGGCCTGCGGGCAGCTCAAGAAGGCTCGGAGTCTTTCCGTGGTCACGTCCCTTGATTAGTAAGGGGCATCGTTCTTTAATTGTAAAATGGCCATGTCTTCGTAGGAGAGCTGTGGGCCAGCATTGGACTGTCACCCAGCAAGTCCACGCATCAGCTTCCCACGGCCCTAGAGAGGCTGTGGGCTCTTCTGCTCTGTCTCTGGGGCCCTGGGAGTTGGGTTTAGTTTAGGTGGTTTTCTCTTGTTACCAGGGATAGAGTTGTGTCGACAGCTAGGAAGGGAGGTTGGGGGTGTGGAGTGACCCTCCTGGAAGGCACCTGGAGGCACTGTCATCCAGAATCCCCATCGACGGCTTGTAGTGTGAACACTGCTGACTGTTAATCTGTGATTGTCCCTCTGTCCATCCAGACATGAAGCAGCAGCACGTCATTGAAACTTTGATCGGGAAGAAGCAGCAGATTTCACTGGCGACACAGATGGTGCGGATGATCTTGAAGATCGATGACATCCGCAAGCCCGGGGAATCTGAGGAGTAGTGCAGGGCCCCCGCGTCCCTGGGCCTCCCTGCAGCCTGGCTAGCACACCTTCACTGTGCACACCCTGACACCTCAGGCCATCTCCCTTGTTTTTGTATTCGTTAAATTAAAGAACCTTTAAGCAATCTATGTTCTGTGTTTTTCCCAAGGAAGAGACAGTCTCTGATTGCAGCAGTGAAAAAATTCAAGCAGCTGTGAGCATTGAGGCTTTTCCAGCAATTCCTTTAACAGAAAACTGGGGGCCCCTCATTAAGTGGAGCACCCTGTGTTGAAGAGAGGAAACCCTAAGGTATGAGACAGGCTTCCTGCCCACATTCTGCAGGCCCAGGTGTGATTTCTTCTTCACAGTGGGGACCCCTGCAGCCACAGAGAGAGGCTACAGGTGAAGAAGAGGGAGCCTTTGGGCCAGGGCACGCTTCCAGGGGGCCTTGAGGTGCCTGCATGCTGCAGAGACCAGTGCTCAAGGGGTACGTGCCGTGTGGTGGCTGGGGCAGGCTGGCATTGCTGGTGGGCAGTGCAGTGTCCTCGGTGGTCCCAGCACTCACTTGCTGGTGATTAAGCTCACCATTCCCAGGGAGCTCGGACCTGCTGGGTGGACAGCACAGAGCTGGGTTGGCACAAGGGGACCAGCTTGGTGCTGGTCAGGAGAGGTTGCTGCTGACAGGCAGCTGGAGTGCTGTTTCTCTTGAAAGACTTTATCCTGGAGTGACCTCTTGTCCGTGCAGGGGACACAGCTGCTGGGCCAGCCTCCCAGGGGTACTCGGTTCTTTTTGCTGAAGCTGACCACATGGAACAGCTAACCAGTGAGCAGAATGCTCAGCTCACACCAGCCAGTGGCTGCATGATGTGTTCAGAGGTCAGGGAGCATTAACTGTGGGGCTTTGTCTTAGTCCTGCTCCCCAGCAGAGGATTGAGAGGGGCCAGGCAGTGGTGGTGTTACGTGCCGTGGAGAAGAAAGCCACCCGGGACTGATCCTCCAGCAGGTTTTCAGAGGCTCTAAATTGTGTGGAGAGAGCACCTATCTTTCATCCTCGACTGCCTGATGGATTTGAACCACGTACTTGCATATTCCCAATCCAAAGAAAGGTGACCTGAGAGAGTGCAGAAATAGTAACAGTATCATGTGAGCAAGATTCTGCTGAGAATTATCCAAAAACGACTGAAACAGTACATCAGAGAACTGCCAGAAGTCCAGGCTGGGTTTAGAAGGGGCTGTGGTACTAGGGATATTGTAGTTGATGTTAGATGGGTATTAGCTGAAAGCAGAGAATGCCAGAGGAATGTCTATCTGTGCTTCATTGATTATGCAAAGGCATTTGACTGTGTGGATCATAACAAACTGTGGCTGACTCTGAGAAGAATGGGAATCCCAGAACACTTGATCATGCTAATGAGAAACCTATACTTGGACCAGGAGGCAGTTGTCAGAACAGAGCAAGGGAACACTGCATGGTTCAAACTTGGGAAGGGCGTACGCCAGGGATGCATCCAATCTCCAAACCTTGTCAACCTGTATACAGAGCAGAACATTAGGGAGGCTGGGCTCTATGAGGAGGAATGTGGCATCAGGATTGGAGGAAGACCCATCAGCAATCTGCGTTATGCAAGTGACACAACCCTGCTTGCTGAAACTGAGGAGGACCTGAAGCACTTGCTGCAGAAGGTCAAGGACTGTAGTCTTCAATATGGATTGAAGTTCAACATCAAGAAGACAAATTCTCACCACTTGGGCCCATTGGCAGCAGCATGATAGATGGAGAAGAGATTGAAGTTAAGTTACAGCTTGCTCAGCTCCTTCATCAGCACTCTTGGCACCAGCAGTCAGGAAATCAAAAGACAAATTGCATTGGGACAATCTGCTGTCAGGCAGTTTTCCAGAGTACTGAGAAGCAACAAAGTCGATGTAGGGACTAAAGTGCACCTAATCCAGGCATGGTCTTTGCAATTACTTGCTGTGCATCAGAGAGCTGGACAGTGACCAAGGATGACAGAAGAAACTATGCCTTTAAGTCATGGTGCTGGATAGAAGAGTCTTGAACATAACCATGGACCAGAAGAGAACAAACAGGTCTGTCTGAAAGAAACAAAGTTTCTCTTTGGAGACCAGGATTTTGAAGCTCTGTCTCACATACTTTGGGCACGGGGCTTGGAGGAACTGGTCCTTCGAGAAAGACGTCATGCTTGGGAGAGTGGAGGGACAGCAGAGGAGAGGAAGACCCCGAATGAGATGTATTGCTATAGTAACTGAGGCAATGGGGGTAGGTTTATCAGTCAGTGAGACTTGCTTAGGACAGGGCAGGTTTCAGAGCTACTGTACACAGACAGGTCGCTGAGTTGCAGTTCGCGCAATCACCACTTCACCACAACAGTGTCTTGGTTTAGGTATAGGATGACACCTGACAGTCAAAAAGACCCACCTTCCAGATTGTACCCGTCTCAAACAAGAGGCCATATTTTCCATAGCATCTTCCCATATTGAAACATGAGGCTTTAATTTGTTTTCAGGTCTCTCAGCCTGAGAAATGCAGAGCAAGTCCTTCCCTTTTCTTCTCCAGGGCCAGCTCTATACAGTCCATTTTGTACGTTGCTTTGTCCTCTCGAGCTGCCCTTTGAAGTCTTTTCCACTCTCTTCCTTCATGTTTTCCCTTTCTTCTGGCTTTACAATGCTCTGGTGCAATTTTTGGTTTTCTCTTCTTTGTAATGATCTTTGCTCTCTTCATGGATGATATCCTTGATACCATCCCACCCAAGACTCATCTGGTCCTTGATCAATAGTGTTCAATGCTTCAAGCCTGTTCTTAAGATAATTTTTAAATTCAGAGGAAATAGATTGAAGATCATATTTTGGTTCTTGTGGACTTGTTTTCATTTTCTTCAGCCTCACTCTGAACTTGCACGTGAGTGATGGTCTGACCCACAGTCCACCGCAGGCCTGGTTTTTAATTGCTGATACCTCCTCCCAACAATTCCTTCCACAGATGTGTCATTCTGATTCCTGTGCATCCCATTAGGTGAGGTCCATGTATGAAGTCACTGTTTGTGTCTTTTAAAAAAGGGATTTACAATAAAGTCATAGAAAATACAAAATTCAATTATTCTCTTTCCAGCCTCATTTCTGTCACCAAGTCCATACTTTCTGACTTGACTTTTTATTGCAACTTTTGCATTTCAGTCACCAACACATCTTGACTGCATGTTCAGTCAATTTCACACTGCAAGATATAGTAAAAAAAATCATTTCTTCTTTGGCTATAGATGAATAATAGTTGTATTAACAGGTCCTCCTTGTATCTGTATGGATAATATCCTGTAACTTACAACATTGTATTTCAGGATGGAACTTGAACTAGACTTCTGGACTATGAAAGCAACACCGATCTTCTGTTTTTCATTCCTAGCATAGTATTCCGTGTGATTATGTGATTTACAATGGCTAAAGCTAGTCTGTTCCATCTCACTAATGCCCAGAATGTCAGTGTTCTGCTTTCCACATCATTTTCAAAATTTCTAGTTTTCCAACAGTCAGGCCATGTACATTCCATGTTCCAGTTATTAAAGGATGCTTGCCATTCTTTTTCCTCATTTCAACAACTTCCAATCTGGGCTTTACCACCACGACTACTATAACCACATCCCTCTACTGGGGTTTTCAGAGGCCTGGTATCTAAGAGTGGCTGCCATCCTGCTTCCTCGGCTGTCTTAGTCTGGGGCCTGCACTAACACCCATCCACCATGGGTAACCCTTGTGGCACTGAACACACCAGTGGCACAGCTTTCAGTCTCAGCAACCCTCAAGTTATCTCAGTGCAGCAAACTGACAGACAAGCACTGACCAATCAGAACAATGTTCCCTCCACTATCTCTTCACAGTCCTGTAAGTTTCTGTCCTTACCATATCATCCCTCTGTGTCCATGCACTGTCCCCTAACAATCCTGTCAGCTTCTGCCCTCAGCCCACCATCCCTGTGCCCCCTGCACTCTGTCCTGTCAGCTCTGCTCTCAGCTCTGTGTCCCCTCAGGCCATTTGCTGCGTCACCTTCCCAGCCCACCTGCTTCCTGTGGAAAGGTCCCACCACAGGCATCATCTGTGGTGCTGGACACGTGACATCCACCACCCTGGGGACTGTGAGCCCAGCATGAACTTGGCCACATGGGTGAACGCTCTGATTGTAACAAGCTCCACAGGAGGGAATGTGGGATGTGAGGACAGAGGTCAGATATGACAGCTCACTGCACTTCCAGGTCAAGCCTCTCATCAAGCTGCTCTAAATAAGCCTATAAAACACATGCAGGTTCCCATGGGAACAGATGTGTGGCCACACCGTGACAACGCGGCCCGTGAGCTTCTGATCTACTTGCCTCTGCAGTTCAGGGTCTCCCCACCTGAGACGTTTAAAACGCTTTGCAGGCCAGAGAGGGTTCTGTGACTCCTGGGCACAGGCAGCTCCAGAATGGACAGGGCTGGCTTGTCTATGTGGCGTCAATAAGGTGGGATCAGAGCCGGTGTCCTCTCCTCTGAGAGACAAAGAATAAAGGACAGCAGATACGCGGAGAAAGTGGGAGAGCGCCACGCAACAGCCAGGACGGTGGGAGGGATGGCAGAGCTACGGCGAGCGCCAGGACAGTGGGAGAGACGGCAGCCACAGCGAGCGCCACGCAACAGCCAGGACGGTGGGAGGGATGGCAGAGCTACGGCGAGCGCCAGGACAGTGGGAGAGACGGCAGCCACGGCGAGTGCCAGGATGGTGCGGCCAGGCAACAGCCACGGCAAGAGCCAGGAGAAGCTCAAGAGAATGGGGGACCTCACTGTAGAGCCAACAGAGCCCTCCCCAAAGCTGGCGCCTCAAAACACAACTTCCACCCTGTTGGCTGCAGGGGGAGTGAGTGTCTGCCAGAGCCACCCCTGTGGCATCCCCAGGCCGCCTGGCACCCCCAGGCCACGTGACTGTCCCAGGCCACGTGGTATCCCTAGGCCACGTGGTATCCCTAGGCCACATGGCATCCCCAGACCATATGGTATCCCCAGACCGCGTGGCACCCCCAGGCCACGTGGTATCCCCAGGCCGCCTGGCACCCCTGGGTCACGTGGCTTTCCCAGGCCATGTGGCATCCCCAGACCATATGGTATCCCCAGACCGCGTGGCACCCCCAGGCCGTGTGGCATTCCTGGACCAGCAGCTTCAGGCGCACAGAGAAGCAGGAAGGCACCTCAGGCGCTGTGCACGGCCTGGGGCACCCAGCTTTTACACAGGACTCTGTCATCAGCTGCCAGCCTGTTTCATTTTTATTGGATAGAACGTTAAAAGTAAACGTAAACGATGTCATACATTCAACTATTCAGGTTTTGGGTGAAATCTTTGGGGACACACTGCTGTGATTTACAAGAGGAGACGACCCGTCTGTGTCTCCAGCTGGGTCCTGCACAAAGCTCTCCCGAGAGCTGCCTCGGCCGCGGCTAAACGTACTTGCTCAGCCATTCAAGCAGGTTCCTCCTGGCCTCCTCGATGTACGGCTTGTCCGCTGGGGCCACATCCTCCCGCTTCCGATGCACAAACCCGTGCGTTTGCCCAGAAAATGTCTTAATCTGATGATCAACTCTGCAGTGGGCTTTCAGCTTCTGGGTCAGCAGAGAGACCTGTTACACACGGGAGTTCACGTCACGTACACATGCTCACGCGAATACGTGAGACCGACATCAACACTGAAGAAACAAGGCTGTGGCTCCACAGAATCCCTTCTTCATCACACGAACACCTCTCACCCCAGGCAATGGTGAGAGCCCTCAGAGAACAGGAAGGACAGGGCACCCGCTACTGAAAACCACCGACAGAATGCATCACGTGAGGGGGCTCTGGTGACTGTATAAGGAGCTTTGCTCCCAATGCAAAGGTGTGCAGTTCGAATCCACCAGCTGCTCTGCAGGAGAAAGATGGGCAGTCTCCTCCCGTAGGACTTAATGCCCCTGAAAACCCGCTGGAGGGTCAGCCATGGGTCAGGTCCAACTCGACGGCACACAACAACAACAGCACAGAACGCACATGTTGAAACCATTTGCAATCACAGAATACAACATACCAGTTATTAAAACAGTGTCTAAATGACAATTTTGGAAGCACAGGGTTCTTCAGCTTTTTCTTACCAACTTAATAGACTCAACAGGGCCATTTCTAAAGTGAGATCCCACAGGAAAGCAAGCAGCAGGCCACCGTCCGTCAGGAGCGAGGCTGCATCCGCTGACATGCGGGATGGCCATGTGGGGAGCCTGCCCTGGACACCTCCCCATGGGCCGAGGTGAGATGTGCGCTCACAGCTGAGCGAAGGCGACAGTCCCCCTCTCACTCTCCACAAGCCCACCTCTGAAATCCCGGTGTTGGGAGAGATTTAGAAATCAACAGAAGCTGAGGAGGTGTTGGGTGTCCTGACTGACCCTCCCCCAAGGCCAGAGTGTTGGGGTGTCCTGTCCCCCGAGGCCGGGGTGTTGGGGTGTCTTGACTGACCCTCCCCCAAGGCCGAGGCGTCGGGTGTCCAGACTGCATGTATCTGGGTAGACAAAGGGCCTGATGTCCTGACTAACCCTCCCCCAAGGCCAGGGTGTTGGGATGTCCTGACTTACCTTCCCCTGGGGACCAGGACATCCTGAATGACCCTCCCCCGAGGACAGTGTGTTGGGGTGTCCTGATGGACCCTCCCTCAGGGGCCTGGTGTCCTGACCCTCCCCTGAGGCTGGGGTATTGAGGTGTTCTGACCCTTCCCCTCTCCTGAGGCTGGGGTGTCAGAGTGTCCTGACTGACCCCCTCCCCCAAGGCCTGGGTGTCGGGGTGTCCTGAACCTTCCCCCCCAGGCCGGGGTGTTGGGGTGTCCTGAGCCTTCCCCCCCCAAGGCCGGGTGTCAGGATGTCCTGACCCTTGCCCCCTCAAGGCCTGGATGTCAGGGTGTCCTGAGCCTTCCCCCCCAAGGCCTGGGTGTTGGGGTGTTCTGAGCCTTCCCCCCCAAGGCCTGGGTGTTGGGGTGTCCTGAGCCTTCCCCCCCAGGCCGGGGTGTCGGGGTGTCCTGAGCCTTCCCCCCTCAAGGCCTGGGTGTCGGGGTGTCCTGAGCCTTCCCCCCTCAAGGCCTGGGTGTTGGGGTGTCCTGAGCCTTCCCCCCAAGGCCGGGGTGTTGGGGTGTCCTGAGCCTTCCCCCCCAGGGCCTGGGTGTTGGGGTGTCCTGAGCCTTCCCCCCCAGGGCCTGGGTGTTGGGGTGTCCTGAGCCTCCCCCTCCCAAGGCCGGGGTGTTGGGGTGTCCTGAGCTTCCCCCCCCAGGCCAGGGTGTTGGGGTGTCCTGAGCCTTCCCCCCCAAGGCCGGGGTGTCATGATGTCCTGAGCCTTCCCCCCAAGGCCGGGGTGCCCTGACTGCACGCATCTGGTAGGCAAGGGGCCAACTCACCTGCTGCAGGGGGATGACAGCATCGTTTTCTGCAAAGATGAACAGCGTGGGTTTCCTCAGTGCGTACACGTCCTCAGAATCCTTGACGATGCCTAGGGATGTGGCAGGGGCGGGAGGGCCATGGGACACGGCGCGGGGCTGCTCAGAAAAGGCATGCTTTGGGGGGTCTGCCTTGTCTCAGCAGTTTCAGAGGCACCCTTCCAGACGAGGTCAGGGCTGTGCAGGTGGGCCCACCGCCCAGGACGCCCACTGATCTGGCCACGACCTCAGTGATGGAGGCAGGGCTGGTTGCCCAGGTATAAACCCAGATGAGTGAAGGGGCTTGGCCTCCACCTTTGTTCTAGAAGCATCTCACTGCCTGCACCAACCTCCCAGGCCCTCCTTCAGGTGCTCCCACCCAGCCAGGTCAACTTCCCTCAGTGCCAGCTATCACCAGGCAACCTCGATCAGAACCCGTCATGCTGGCCAGAGGGCCTCGAACACTGAGGCAGCTGCTAGAAGTGGGGGCCAACAGGGGAAAAGTGGGGTGCAGAGGGCGAGATGGCTGCTCCTTGCTACCAAGAAAGACAGCCACTAGAGAGCTAGACTCCCATATGGCCAGTGTTGTCCCCTCTGATGTCACCTACAGCCTGTCTGATGTCCTGTGGCCAATCAGGGGAGCTGGAGCCACGGAGGTTGGAGGTCAGCCCCGCAGGAACTCCTCCTTCAGACGTCATGTGACAGTGGGGTTTGTTGTTGCCACAGACTCTACACACAGCAGCTCTGCAGCCCGCCCTGTCCTGAGCCAGTCTCACTGATGCCCACACACCTATCCCCACTGCCCCAGTCACTGTATCAACCCATCTCATCCGGGGTCTCCCTCTCCTGCACTGTCCGTCCACACTTCTGAGCATGATGTCCTCTAAGGACCAGTCCCTCCTGGCCATGTGCCCAAAGTATGAGACGGAGCTTCAAAATCCTAGCCTCCAAGGAGAGACTTGGTTTCATCCTCTCCAAGACAGACCTCTGTATGTTCAAGACCCTTCTCCAGCACCACAACTCAAAGGCATCAAGTCTGTCATCCTTGGTCATTGTCCAGCTCTCTGATGCACAGCAAGTAATTGCAAAGACCATGGCCTAGATCAGGTGCACCTTAGTCTCTAGACTGACATCGTTGCTTCTCAGTACTCTGGAGTGGTTCTTGACAGCAGATTTTCCCAATGTAATTCGTGTTTTGAATTCCTGACTGATGGTGCCAGGAGTGTTGCTTGTGGAGCCGAGCAAGCCGTAACAGTTAACAACCTCGATCTCTTCTCTGTCTGTCATGGTGCTGCCATTTGGTCCAGTGCTGTGAATCTTTGTGTCCTTCATGTTGAGCTTCAAGCCACATTGAAGACTACAGCGGTGGATTCAGGTTCCCAGAAAATGGAACAGGAAGCACAGAATTTCACCTGCCCCCTCCTGACGTGACCACGTGTGTGATGACGATGCCCAGAGGACGGGAGATATGCCGCAGGACAGGGATGCCTGTCCACCAAGACGGTCAGGCCCTCACGTCTCAGCCTCTGCCCAGAGCCCCGATGAGCACGCGAGTCTGGGATCACCCAGGTCTAGGTGTGCGTGTGCGTGCATACGGACGACACACTGGCAGGCACTGGTCGGGGGCGTCCAGCAGCCTGTGTTTAGAACACGGGACTGGGCACCTCAGAGTCTCTCTGCCATCTGCAGGCGCCCCTGCACCCCTTCTCTGCAGGTGTAAATGCTGTACGTACGCAGATGCCACACACACCTGCCAGCCCCGTGGTCCTCAGCACAGCTCAGCGGCAGATTGGCACGTCCCCACTGTGATCACGCCAGGAGCAGGCGGAAGTGGCAGTGCTGTGGGCAGCATCTATGCGGCCCGTGAGCTCCCACGGCCACCTGCTGCGGGGAAGCCACTCAGTGTCCACGGTCCCCGTGTCGCACCGTCTCTGGGTGCATGCGGAAACCTCACAGACACAGCGTGCTGCTTTGTGGAGTGGACTGCTGTCTTCTCCTCTTGCGTGTGTGCATGTCTGAGGGTGTGTGTGTGTGTGTGTGTGTGTGTGTGCACTTGAAGTGCAGTGGTATGTCGTACGTGTACGTTTGTGAGCACATGCAGATATATGTGACAGGACGGCACACATGTTCTGTGTACACACAAGTCTGTGGTGTGCATGTGCTGTGGTGTGAGATGCATGTGTGATGCAGGCCATGACCTTGTGTGAGAGGTGTGGTCTGCACACACGTGATGTGTGTGACATGCACACATGTTTGCACACGTGTTGAACAAATGTATGACGCACTTGTGCTTGTGGTTTATAAACATCTGTGTATCTGTGTAGTGCATAAAGTGAGTACCCAAGTGTGATGTGTGCATGGCACTGTGTGTGCCTGTGTGTGTGGTGTGTGCCTGTGTCTGATGTGTGTGCCTGTCTGTGCACATGTGTGTTGTGTGTATGTGTCCACGTGTGATACGTGTGGTGTGTGTCCATGTGTGATGTGTGTCTTTGTGTGTAGTGTATGTACCTGTGTGATGTCTGTGCATGTATGTATGGCATGTGTGTGTCCATGTGTAATGCGTTTGCCTGTCTGTATCTATCTTTATGTGTAGCATGTGTACCTGTGTGATGTCTGTGCATGTGTGTGTCCATGTGTGATGTATGTGCCCATCTTGTCTTTGTATGTAGTGTTTGTACCTGTGTGATGTGTGATGTCTTGTGCACATGATGTGGTGTATGTACCTATGTAATATGTGTGATGTCTGTGCATGTGTGTGTAGCATGTGTACCTGCGTGATGTGTATACTGCATGTACCTGTGTGATGTGTGTGCATGTGTGTATGTCCATATGTGACATTTGCCTGTCTTTGTGTGTTGTGTATATACCTGTGTGATGTGTGATGTCTGTGCACATGTGTGGCATGTGTACCTGTGTGTGGTGTCTATGCACATGTGTGTGGCGTGTGTACTTGTGTGTGATGTCTGTGCACGTGTGTGTGGCGTGTGTACCTGCGTGTGATGTTTGTGCACGTGTGTATGGCGTGTGTACCTGTGTGTGATGTCTGTGCACGTGTGTGTGGCGTGTGTACCTGTGTGGTGTCTGTGCACGTGTGTGGCGTGTGTACCTGTGTGTGATGTCTGTGCACGTGTGTGTGGTGTGTGTACCTGTGTATGATGTCTGTGCACATATGTCTGTCCATGTGTGATGTGTGTGCCTGTCTTGTCTGTCTTTGTGTGTAGTCTATGTACCGGTGTGAGGTCTGTGCACATGTGTGTGCCGTTTGTACCTGTGTGATGTGTATAGTGCAG